CGGAGCAATCTGTGGAGCTGGAAGCTGAGAACTGGCGACTTTGTAGTAGAACTTTAGTACGCAGAGTATTTGTCTGGAGAGCTGGACGATGAGAACTGGCGACTTTGTAGTACAACTTCAGTAGGAGTACAACTGTAGGACGCTGCCTCAGCAATTTTCTATGTTCATCCAGCTCGCTTTTTTCGGTGAGATTTCCTGGAGGCGTGCACGCTGCTTCCTGCTTCTCACTCAGCGAGGGTCGGGCTCCCAGACAGAAGAGCTGTGTGCTTTATTTGCCTTTACCAGCAGCTCAAATGCTCACGACGATGAGCTGAGCTGTCACCCCTTGGCCGCCGGTGGGGGGTTTGGGAGGCCTGCGCGCTACTTGGTTCACTATATCTCGAGTGAAGACCTTCACCAGCAGCAGACATAGACACACACACAGGGACTCATACACGCACACACACACATCACACACAGAGACCCACGCACTGCCTCAACTTACTCGGACACACACACAGACAGGGACTCATACACACACAGACATAGATACACACACAGAGACCCACACACTGCCTCAACTCACTCGACTTCACACTGAACACTTAACACATAACTCACACTCTGACTTCCTACGTGATGAAAAATGCTTTCGGGCCACTCGTCGTCTAGTTTTTATGATTCCGCGCGGCGCGCCTCCGCGGCTGGTAGGACGCAGCGCGGTGGCTGGGAAGGTGGCGGCTAGGTCTGCAGGTTGCGCAGTGGCCCCTCCAGAGCTGGCGCTTCCGAAGTCCCAGGCAGGTGGGAGGTCACCTAGAGCTAGCCAGGGGAGCAAACGCTAAGTCCTGTTCCTTTCCTTCCCTGTGGCCCTGAGTACAGCACAGCCTTCACAGGCTTGAGGGAATCAGCGTAAACTGAAACCTTAAAGGCTTAAAGGCGTCAAACACTTTAAACCTTGCGCACTGCTTTGTTTTTTGCACCGTGTCTCCAGCATAGAACTTGCCATTGATATTCCCTTGCTTCTATTTGCTAAATGCCTGGTGGCTTATACCAACGTAGCTGCAAGTAATTCCGCGAAACCTTGCCCTTGGCCCAAGGCCACGTGACACTTTGCACGTCTGAGATTTAGAATCCTATCAATTCAGTCGTTAATTGTTAGCGCCTGTCTCCGTTTTTTCAATCTTTGGCCCTCGCGAGTCCTGAGCTACACTAGCCCTTATCAATCACATCACGGACATGAAATTTTGCAGACCTTCTGCATACTTGATATAAATTTGGCTCGCAAACCAAGAACCTTGAACGGACCTTCAACCACAGGCCAAAAACGATTGGTGAATTTGCCGAAAGATAGCGAGAAAAACACAAACGCTAAAGGGAAGACATGAAAAAGGCACTTCAACAAAACATATTAAAAACATGAAATAAAACATAAAAGAGAAAATAAAAAAATCATAAAAATATCATAAACAAAAAACACCACTTTGGAAAAACATAAACGAAAACATATTGAAGTCATAAAAATATAAAATATACAATTTGTTTTCAAGTCACTCTTTTTGGCTGCATCTAAACTCACAAGGATAGTGCTTGGCCTTGGGCGAGTGAAGCCTGCGGGCTTTGCCGTTTGTGCGCATACTTTTGTGCGCATAAACTTATACGCGCAAGATCATACGGCCTTACCGTTCTACAGATCGTTGCTTCAAGCATGCTACAATCAATAGTGGCGCTGGATACTGCTTGGCCTTGGGCCACTGACACTTACGGGCTTTGCTGTTTGCGCGCATACTTTTGTGTGCATAAACTTATACGCGCATTCCCCAAATAGGGATAGCTATGGGGTTCTTGCTGCAAATAGGAATGAGCTGGCTGCGCGCGCTTTCGAAAGGGTGTCGGTGCTGGTGCTGGTGTTGTGGTCCTGGGTGCTGGTGCTGTGAGCTGGCTGAGCGCGCGTTTAAGACGGGCGGCGCCGCTGGTCGGGTGCTGGCGCCGCTGCCGGTGTTGTCAGCTGGCAAAGCGCACCGGTGCTGGTGTCAGCTGGTTGTGCGCGCTGTGGAGGTGCCGTAAGCTGGCTGTGCTGGCTGCGTACATTCTTGTTCCAGCCAGTCGCATGTCAACAGGTCTTGGGATTCTGCCTAGCTATCTGGGTCGATGCTGGTGTAATTTACGTCTTTACAAAATCAGACGTAATGGCTTTTATCAACAACTTGATGAAAAAATGGAAGGGGCTTGTCCCAACTTGTTGGGTCTCAAACGTTGAAAGAAAACCCTTGTCAGGATGGGGATGTAGGTTGTTTTTGTTCCCTTCAATATTAACCAGATGCATTCCATTTACACAGTGAATTCGCCATTGATCATTTGATCCAAGGCTATCCTTATGAGTTCGGCCATGAGCGCCTGCGGTGGCGCCCATGCTTGGCACACCACCGTGGCTGTGCTACGGCAATTCGCCTCATCGACGACGACGCATGGCCGGCAATTTTTTGGTGCGTGGTGTGCTGCACCAAGGAGTCGGAGTGAGGAAATATGAGAACATGTGCGAAAAACAGGGGGACCAGGACCAGGAAATGCAGAAGCAACGTATGTTGGAACTCTTGGCAACTTGCATGGATGCTTTCTCCCTTGGAGAAGACCTGCGCATACAAGATCATGCAAATGTGATGTTTATCCATGCAGAATCGCCCTGAAGGGTCTCCGAGGGAGTTGTTCAAGCAAGGCCATCGATGCACAACGAGTCCCGGGACTACTGACAACCTTTCAGGTTCATTTCCTGGTTACAGAATTTGATGAGAGTGTATGTTCGGAAATAACTAGTTTGCTACCAAGACCATCCTGTTTGGGTGTCCTGGCTGTACTACCCTACACTGTTTAGGGATTTGCGTTGGACACCCATTGGATGGTCCAGGCGTAGTTTGTTTGTTAATTTCCCAATGCCAGTGTCATTGTTTTATCTTGTGAGTATCCACATCTTTGCTACCTTGTGTTTGAAAATTGCAGAACATCTATGGTCTAGTAAACTGAAGACCCCAAAACTGACATGTGGATGAGTGATGCATGATCCTTCAGTCCCGCCAGTCCAATATTCCACGAATCACCCTTCGATGATCAACCGTGAGACTAGTCATGAAAACAGGCCAAGTGCAGGATGTTCGTGGATGTTCATGTTTTTTCGGGAGTGATGCCCTCATGAGTTGTTGCACCAAATCCTATCTATACCTTCTGAAACCGATTGCTTGTTTTTTCATGTTTATCCCACCATTGAATGCACCAGATGCTTACAAAGATTGATTCAAAACTTCGGAAGGAAAGGAGTTGTTCACAGCTAGTATAGAATGGTGCATCGTTTGTTTCATCAGCTGCATCAACTGGATCAACCAGGAGATCGGACATCATCAGCTTCAACAGTGCCACGAGTGCTTGCGAAGAAGTGCGACGATGGAAGGATGCCCTTCAGATCTTTTTGTGCCCCTCGCAGTGGTTTTGCGGACCTTTGGGCGTGGACATGAGGGGAGGGTCTATAACTGAAACATACTGGAACCTTAGCAGGTGGAGGCTAGTTTCTTTTCGGTTATTTTCTTTTCGCAATTCCCCCCATGCATCAAAGCGGATAAACAGAGGCGCTCACAAGAGACGAGTAAATAGGGTGGGATGCAGAATTTCTGGAAGGATGATCCCTGATTGTTTAGAAGGAATTCAAAGTACCGTGCGCACAACCCCGGAACTCCCCCACCTGCCAGAGCTTTAGACCCAGCCTGAAACAGCATCTCAAACTTGTCCAAAAATAAATACTAAGGCGCAAAGTGGCAGCAGCTGCAAACGACAATCGTATCGTACAGTGCAGCCATGACTGCATGTGAGAACCAGTGGCTTTCAGCTTGGCAGCTATTTCAGCTACTGCGCAATGACGGAATACTCATGAGCACAATTCCCTTCAATGCCGTGGCCAGTGCCTGTGCAAAAGCAGCAGAGTGGGTAAATGCCTTGCACCTTGTAGCTTGGACATGCCAGACATGTTTATATATACATTATTCATATTGTCAGCTTGCAGTAGCCTCGCACCTTCGCAGTCCATCTTTGCGGGCATCCGCCACCAATCCATCCAAGTCAGTTGCATGTTGGCTACCGGCTACTCAGAACTATGTGAACAGGAATTGCACAAAGGCAGGATAAGGATCTCGAAGCCTTGACAATACAAGGGTCCTAGATGGTCCTAGTAATGTCTTTAATAGCAGAGTGTGGGGGAAGACGGAGCTCATATTGCACCAAGAGGCCATACAGTCATACACAGCTTTGACCAGTCGGTGGCCGAAGGTCAATGAGGTGCACCAGATGCTTTTGCAGCGCACGCTCGTGACCTATGGCAGCGGCATCAGTGCCTGTGAGAAGTCGCTGCAGGAGTGGCAACGATGCCTGCAGCTGCTGGGTGACCTCGAAGGAGAATCACTGCAAGGCTGTGTTGGAAAGGGGAATCGTACCAGATGAGAACCACCAGAAGCGAACAATCAGCACTCCCGTCCCAGTGTTTCCGTTCCCTTACTGTTTGTGCCACGGGGTCAGGTTCTATAAATTTGGGGAAGTCAATGAATGGCCATTTCGTGATGACAGCCTCTTGCACTCTTACCACTTTTGAGAATTATCAGTTAAGGGTCCTTGCTGTGCTTTCGTTCAAGCAATTCCAAGCATCCCTTTCAGTTCTGAAGGCAACCTGGTGGTCCAGAACGCAGTGCTGAGACTTGGTCCTCCAGTGATGTGGGTTGGAGTACTGTAGATGTCCAACGGTTGGTAGAATACATTCACCAATAATATCTCTTGTTCCAAGGTGATTCAATGGCGATTCTTTTTTTGATCCACATCCAGATGAGTCAAACCTCTACAGCAGAAAGTCACGGCCGGTAGACCAAACCCGATGTTTCTTTTACATTCAGTCGTTGATTTGACTGAGACCTCTAGCATTTAGAATCTAGATCAGAAGAGTTTTGCACGAGTCCCACTCCTCACAGACCGCACCAATCAATGCGGTCAAAACAGGTTGAGGCGGAGAGACCATACTTCATGCTAAGCCGGTTTAGCAGAGTCAAAATGCCTAAGCTAGTCTGCAACTTCACGGCAATATGGTAGCAATGGATTTTACCATAAAATACTCTTTGGAACCTGCTGTGTCTTACCGGCTTACCATGCACCACCTGTTATACTTCTTGCCCCTGTTGTAGCTTCAGCTGTCCGCAAGGTGCACGCAAGCTGCAGCTGCACAAATGAGTTGGTCAGAGACAAATGTCTCACAGTGTAAGTACGCATGAATGCTAGAAGTCGTTCCCTTGTTGAGTATGGCAAACGGGCTGGAAATCAGAAATCAAAACCTGGCCCGCTTAAAGCCATTCCTTATATATACTGTGATTGAAATTGAAGAATCTTTGCACTAAAAACAATAGCATCTCAGTCTCAATCTCCAACTCATCTAATGCTGAAACTTGGAGCTTGCTAATTACTTGCATCAGAGATTGCTGGTAATCCATGGTAATCCCACATCCTAACAAAGTCTTCCAAGTCAGTTTGGACTACCTTTGCCGTGTGACTCCCCGTTTCGAACAAAGCTGGCTGCCGTGCAATCTCGGCCGAGGAGTGCATGCGAAAAGGCCACGACTGCCACGGCCTGGGTGCGCTGGCCACGCGTACTCCATTTGCTGGGACGATGCGTCGCAGACGCCATCAGCGTGAATTGTGGAGTAGGCGCTTGCCAGAGACTTGGCCAGCTGGTTATGATGGCCGGGCGTAAAATTTGAAAGCCAAAGGGCCAAGGCGGCCAGGCTCACACAGCTGGCAAAATTAGTTCAAGAAATGTCCATAGAATCCATAGAAGTGGGAATCGCTAAAGGTTGGTCACCACGATCTGAAGCCTCCTGAAGCACAGCCAAATTACCAGACGAATTGAAAGCCCACATATTTCCAAGCTGGACGGTGGGAAAGAAGATTTTGGAAACATGGACGGACACATGTGTTCTTTTTTCCCTTCGCAGATTCGGAGTGCTTTTGTTAGCTGGTTGCCAACCAAGAGGAATCGGAGCCGAGGACGGCGACTGAATGGCGGCATGCGCTTTTTCTCGCACTTCCCGAGGGCGAGAGTCAGTCCGTGAGTGCCACTGCAATCTCATATGTCACTAGCAGGTAGTGGGCAGTGCTCAAGGGCGGAACTGGGATGGGAGAAGTCTGGAACAGGCTGGACATGGGACTGTAGAGCATGCCTGCACGTCTTGAGAACAATTCGTCTCCACCAGGGTCAAATTTGCGTAAGAAGATGAATTGTAGGAAGCAAGTACATCAGTGTACTTGGCTAGGCACGGGTCAATGCTTATCATCTCATACCTGGTAGAGAGGATGGTTGCCAAGCCCTTTGTGGTTCCCATGGTCTGGCCCTGGTGGTCGTTCTGGGGATGTCACCCCATTCAGAGGAATCTCATAGTCGTCCCCAAATCAAAAGCTTCAGGTGTTCCAGTGTGTTTGTTGCTGCAAACTTGTCCTGAGTCTATCAAGATGAAAATCCTGCATGGCTTCAAGCATCTCCATTCGCAAGTGGAATTGGTTTGGCAGCGAGGGTTCAGCGAGGCATTGTTACAAATGGTGACATGACCTGAGATCATCTTGTTTGCCGGTGGCAGATCCTCTAACCATCCTCAAGCCCCCTCCGAGGCCACCGCCGCGGCCACTGGAGCCGCCACGGTCACCGTGGCCACGGTGAGGTTGTTGGAACGGCTGGAGCAGCTGGGGATCCAAGGCACAAGGCGTCCAAGGCACAGCGCTCGCTGACCGGCGATTTTTTGGAGCCCGTCCTCCAGTGCGAAGTCAGCAGCGCAGCTAAGCTGAATCAGAAGGTAGAAAGAACAGATTGATCAGTATTTGGTTCATTTGTCCCAGTGGTGTTTTTACCGTGTACAGTTCAACATTTGCAACCCCCAAATGTGAGGATCGCACAGGGTTGCAGGATGTTCTACGGGTGTTCTGCACGGGTGGAAGCTGCTATGGCCACCATGGTGGGCTATTTGGATCCACTCAACACGTCGTCGATTTGGGAACTGGGGGCGGCCAGACGGTCTGTTTTCTCCGAACGCGTCACACGAGTGTCAGGTGTTTGGTGAATGTTTGGAGCTGATTGACTATGGCAGACCTTGCTATTGCTCAGACAGTTGTATTGGTTTTTGGAGATGGGGGACGGCAAACATGACTGTGGTACATCTTGAGGGTTCCTAGACGCTCTATAAATTCCATACATGGAGTCTTTTATGGTTTAAAAGTTTAACTGTTGGTTTCTTGCTGGGTGCGAAGTTCACACTTCGAACTTCAAACCCAAGTTTTAAGGGAGTTGACAGGTGAACCCTGCGTGCCATGGTCCTTTTCTTTTCATAGACCACCGTTCTCCAAAAGCTCACCGATGTTACAAATGTATAAAATCATGGGCACTACCCAAACAGGTACATTACATTGTAACTTTGTTTGTTAGAAATTGAAAGGTATCACAAAAATGAAACAGCGATGAACAACGACTGCAAATGGACGGACGTTTGTCCTTCGAGGCTTTGGAGACGGAGACGTGAAGTTTGTCTTTGGACAATCTAGAAGCAGTCTGGACTCTTCGCCAAAGCCTGTGAACGTTGAGCCTTGGCACGTCAGCGAAGCTGGGCAAGTCGGTCTTGTTGACTCGCTGCTCCCTCTTTGACGCGCTCTTTGGTGCTGTATCCTGGCATGGCCGCATGGCCTCAATCGTTTTTGTGGTCGAACATGGGACGAGTTGATACGATTTGTCCGTTTTTGGCCACTAAAGCAACGGGTTTATGGCCTGTTGAGTTGGTCGTGGGAGATTGGCATGATGATTTGAAGTTTGAGGATCCCACGTTTCTTCTTTATATAACTGAAGACATGTTTCTGCCCCATCTAAATCCACAATTAATACCCTAGGGTTCCCCAATCACTACAAGTCCCTGCGCAACTGGGTTCAAACTTGCTTAGAGTTTTGGGATGATGTTGGATTTGGCCTGAACCCTTCTTATGATCGAACAGCAATAGACTTGGAAAAACAGAACAGTGGGAGGAGTGGGTAAGGAAACAAGTGCTACCAGCAAGCTGCAACAGCCTTCTCAGGTCCAGGTAGGATCGGGATTTGCATGGGAGAGTTGACTGGAGAGTTACTGCAACAGGGGGAGTCTCACAGATCGTGGACCAGTGCAAAGTTCTTTTTTTCTGGATGTCCATCTCAAAGAATCGAGAAGAGTTTCCACAGAGAAGGCTGTTGAAATTTGGAGGGTGAGACAAGCCCACATGTTAGATCATTTTGTAAGGGTAATCCTACAGTTGGGTTTTCTCTCAAGTTGAAGTTGTGCAAGTCTTCTTTGGATGAGCTAAGGACTTGCCATGCACCGCATGGCCTCAAAAAAGAGTGGCCGTGATGCTCGAAACAAAAAAAACGCGAAACAAGCGCAGTACAGGCAGGGGGCCTTCCCAACGTCAACATATTATTGCCGTGCATGGTTTGACACTCATCCTGAGGCAAAGTCTATTAAAATTTGAGTGTCAATGGGCAAGACATGCAATGACAATGTACCACGGTGCCTGAGAGATATTAAATGAAAAACTCTTGCACCACTTGGACCCCCAGCCACCGTAGACAGATCAGATCTAACAGAGGTGCAAGTTTTTTCGCGCTGGCGCATGAGACGTTAAACCTACCACTCCAGGAAAGCAGTTCTTTCTGAATTGCAAACGAAGCTCACCTGGCCAGTGGACGAATAACTGGATTTCGGTAGAGGAATGTAAGAATCAATCTGGCCTGTGCCAGGTCAAAGTAAGTTTTGCTTTTGCCAATGAGCCCGACGTTCCCACGTTCCCCTTTTCCTTATTTCCCAGTTTCACATGCTGAACACGCTCCTGAGACAATGCCCAAACCTAAGACATCATTCTGATATTCTGGAATTTCTGCTGCACGACCTAGCAAAGACTTGGCCTGAGATTCTTGACATCTCCGGTCCATCAAGAGTTTTCCTGTGATTTGTCCCGGCTGGACCATCCCCACCATTTGAGCATTGTTTCCACTGCTATGATACTGATACAGGTGATGCAGGTCCCGACTCATCTTTGGTACAGGGCCCCCTCGCTGCATGGAAGCCTCAGTTCTTCGGGGCGATGTAGCACACCCAGCACCATGTAGACTGGGCGTTGCGGGCACTGCTGCGGACTCCCACACGCCGTGTGACCTGACTCTGGGGCATTGTCGCCCTGGTGAGGGAGGTCACTCCGAAAGCAAAATGGGCACTTCAAAGCTCGTGTTGATGAAAGGAAAGATGCAGCCAATGGACAAAGGACCAATGAAGCCTTCCCTGCAAAGAGGGCGAGACCCTCTTTCTGAGATACCGTTCGTGCGGCAAACGTGGATCGCCTGCCAGGAGTGGTTTGCATGCAGGTTTCTCGGGTAGTTTTGGGGTTGGCATCTAGTTGGGTGATTCTGACGCAACAAACATGGGCAGGCTCGAGCCTGCCAGTAGATCAGCAAAGAAATCTGCCCAAATCCAGTGTCCTTGTTTCCAAGACAGTTTGTTATTGCTTACAAGCTCAAAATGCATGCCTGAGTAGGTCCATATCAACCCCAAATACCCAAAGAGACATTCCAAATGATGTTACCTCATGTGTTTTTAAGGAGCCACCAGTGGAAGTGGGTGAAGACTTGAGATGTAAGGCGGATGTAGGCATTGTACACCCCTATCATATATGTTCAAAGAACTTTCACTAGGTCATGTGAGACCCTGATTCGAGGTTTAGTTGGGTTTGTCTTGAACCCAATGTGTACAAAGAGTAGACATTTCAAGACAGAATAAGGTTAAAATCCTTCGAACTGGCCAGCATTCAAGTTCAAAACCAAAGCATTTGCAAGGAAGCAGTTCAATCACAACAAGTGCTCACGTTCCAAAGAATTCAGAATATTTGATCATCACAGCCTGGGAAAATAATGAGCATGCTCATGGAAACATTGTATATCATTCAAAACCGTGGGGACCTGGAGAGGGGGATAGCATAAACATATATATATATACATACGTGTTTATACAAACATATGTAGAGAACCTGGGAACAAACCACCTGATCTTGAAGTACCAAGGTCAATCTTATGCGACCGCCTCGCGGCTTGGACACGTCGATCCTGTCGACCAGCACAACCCGGGCGACTGGGCAGTTTTAGATTGAAGCGGTGTCAAGGTGGCGGGTGTGGCAATTGCGGGCAACGATGTAGTCAGGTTTGGCCTGTTGGTAGTGGCAGGATGGCTAGAAAAAAATTGACTTCCTGAGTCCTTAAAGAAAGACCCAGCAGGCCAGCAGGTTGTGTTTTTGCAAGGAACAAGCAGTGTCCATAGCAATAGATGTCCTTTCACTCACCATGTTGTCGCTCCTTCTCCTGTGAAAACAAAAACAGGGTGGAGTTGGACGTCGGTTCGGGGGAGAATCGCGTAAACGGCAAGTGATCAATCAGGGTTGACACACACCAGGGAAATGAATAACCATAATGAACCACCTTTGTTGATTTGTTAGCATCACGCTCTACCTTTCCCCAAGCTTCTACTACCTACCATCAAAATAAAGTGTTACCTTGCTTTGCAGTCTGAAGCCCTGAGAAACACAATGGTTGTTTGGTAAATGATCAACTCCGAGGCATCATGGTGGGAGTCTTTGCAGTGCTCGGAAAGCACTGCTGTGGAATGGACCAAAGCAATCCGGGGCCAACCGTGGCTGTTTGCATTTGGAGCCTTGGTGAGGTCATACCTGCAAGCAGAAGGTGGCCCTGGAAAAACATGCACAATGCACACAACCCAAAAACCGGTGGAAAGAGACAGGACAAGGACATGTTTGATCATTTTCTCGGTGAATACGTTTGATTGTCATGGATGCAGACCCTTTGTTTGGGTACCGGGTGCCCAGGAACTGGCATCGTCTCTTAATTTTAGGAGCAACTATGAGCAACTACAATGACACCAGTTTTGTAGATACATGTCCACAACCATTGGGTGCCAAGACGGAATGAGAAGAGTGATTGCACAAGTCTTAGGCATCCCCTTCCAGAAGATGCGCATGGATTTGTTTGGGACTTGTTGGTATCAGGTATCACCATGGGCATACACCAGCCCTTGCATGATACGAGGTGGCCACAGGCAACCTGTTATGCAAGTTTGGGATGTACAGAAAGGGGTACCAGGTTTCGGCCGTTTCACCTTGATTCTTCTGCCTTTGGTTCTTCCGCCTTGAGGAGCTTTGCAGGTGTTGGAGAAGAAACGCATCCAGAAGGATGTGGCTTCTTGGAATCTCTACACTGTCACAGGGAAAACCCAAGATCGACCAGGTGGATCTGTAATTGAACTTCACCCTGTCCACAACTGGGGATGTCCCTGAGTTCTTAAATAAAGAACTCAAGGAGGGAGAGAAGTCAAGAAGTGTCGCGGAGCTGGTCAGACTCTTTCAGTGGGGTCGAAAAGCGGTCAATCGAATGAATGAAGGAAAAAGGGTGGTCGAATGGCCGGATTGGTCGACCATTCGTGGTTCCAGCTCGCAGAATGGTCCCGATAGTAACTTCCAAATTCCAAACAGTCAATTAGGATATGTTGGGATATCTTTAGAGATGGCCATCAATGATTCAGGTACAGCAAACTAATAGTTGATCTGAAGCTGAGTATGCACTATGCACACCTCGTTGAAACATGTTGCTAGTTGGCTTTAGCTCTCACCCAGAGGCATTCTGAAGTGAAAGATGGGAACCTCCAAGAAGATCAAGTTCTTAAGGCTACAAGCAAAGGCTTTCTCAGTGATTCCTGTACACTGTAGATAGTAGATGAATCGGCGCCCAAACAAGAATTCGGTAAAACAAACCACAGGTCAAGGTGTTGACGTCTTCCCCTGATGTGTTTGAAGTCACCACCGGACCACCGAAGTTCCGGGCCTGAAGAATTCCTATCTCCAAACACATCGGAAGATCCATGTCCGTGTTTTTGTCTCACAGGGAGACCCCCCAAAACAACACAGAAAGGAAAGTACATTAAGGATGGCATGGCCCCGGAAAGACCACCTTCCTCTACAAAGAGGGGTTGTCCACTTCCATGTTTGTTGGAGGGAGGGTAAGTGCAATCGCAGGGGATATCCGATAGTTCAATGGATGTGAGGTTCTTTGCAACACCGTGATCTCTTCGTGTGAGCACAGCTCTCAGTGGCCTCGGGCATTGAATCAGTTCGCCAGCTTCCAGCACAGCCTTCTGCATGCATCGGTCGTCTCATTTGGAGCAGTGATGAGTAATTGTGAGAAGGCGGATCAATGGCGACCCGGATGCGAATTGGGGCGCAACAAGAAGAACCGAAAAGAGATGAATACACAAAGACCAGCAGCAATCCACACTCGGTGATGTTTTGCATTTACTCTCAGTAAAGATGTTTGCATGTATGTTTTGATATATATATTTAAGGGCTGACGCCCGACAGCCGGCCAGGGGCCCACCACTGGTGGTTGTTTTTGTCGTCGTCGTCAACTGTTATTCTTGTCGTCGTCGTCGTCGACGTCGGCCTCTTGGGCCTATGTTGAGCCCATCTTGGGCCTACGGCGGCCCATCTTGGGCCTATGTTAGGTCATCTTGGGGACCTCTGTTGGATCATCTTTGGTTATGCGCGTCAGCGCAGCATGCATTACCGACACCACCCTTGTAAAACCCACAGTTGTTGCATTTCGCAATCATAAAACCTTGTGATTTTCCACGCGCACAGAGCCCTGTAAAACACAGTGCTTTTTGAACGTCACACGCAGAATCCACTGTAAAACACAGGGGCATAGGAAGGAACCAGGTCTGGGTCGGCGGCAGGCTGCTAGAGAGGAGAGATGCCACGGCCAGTGCCAGGCCCGATGACGGGCCCCTGGCCGGATTTAAAGGCTTACGCCTGACAGCCGGGCGCTGGCCATCTTGGGGCTATGTTGGCCCATCCTAGGGCTATGTTGGGCATATGGGCCTTTGTTGGCCTATTTGGGGCCCACGTTGGCCCAGCTAGGGCCTATGTTGGACAATCTTTGGGCTATGCGGGGCGGTGTGGGGGGCGATGTTCGGCCCACTTTGGGTTTGTGTTGGGCCATCTCTCTCTTTGGGACTTGGTGGGGCCTATATTGAGCAAAGTTAAGCTATCTGGTGCGCATCTTGGCCCTAGGTTGGGCCAAGTTGGGCCCATGTGGTCTATGTTGGGCACATCTTGGGCCCAAGTTGAGCCTATGTTGGGCCTAGGTTGGCCTATGTTAGGCCTATGTTGGCCTAGGCTGGGCCTATGTTGGCGTATGTTGCCCCCATGTTTGCCTATGTTGGCCCTATGTTGAGCCATCTTGGAGGCTATGTGGGGCATATATGTTGGGGATATGTTGGCTATCTTGGGCCTATGTTGAGGATATGTTAGGCAATTTATGTTGAAAAAATCTTCCGATACAGTTGTTTACGATTTTTCCTTCCCACAGCAAAAACTATGGAAAAAAACGACGTTTTTTAACATCGCCAAGATGAAATTCTCGGCCGCCGAGGGGCCCAAAACCCTGTAAAACACTGTGTTTTTTATACCTCACACACACGAAACACTGTAAATTACATATAAATCTGTCGACCGGATTCGGGCGGGGGTCGACCGGGAGTTGGGCGGATTCTCCCCGCGCTCCAACAAAAGTGTCGGCGGCAGGGGCGGCGAGCGTATATAACCTTCGGTTACCAACCGAAGGCCTCCGGCAAGGACACGGGCTCCGTGGCCGGCGCCCGGATTTATGAGGCTTACGCCTGACAGCCGGGCGCCGGCCAAAATTTGGGTTAGGGTCCGCGCAGGGCTGGATCCTCTCTCCCTCTCCCTCCCTCCCTCTCTCTCTCTCTCTCTCTCTCTCTCTCTCTCTCTCGCTTTCGCTTTCCCTCTCCCTCTCTCTCACTCTCTCTCTCTTTCCCTCTCCTCTCCCTCTCCTCTCTCTGTCTGTCTCTGTCTCCGTCTCGGTCCTCGGTCTCTGTCTCTGTCTCTGTCTCTGTCTTCTCTGTCTTCTCTGTCTTTGTCTCGGTCTCCTCTGTCTCCGTCTTCGCTGTCTCTGTCTCTCTCGCTCTCTCTCTCTCTCTCGCTTTCGCTTTCCCTCTCCCTCTCTCTTTCCCTCTCCTATTGAGCAAAGTTAAGCTATCTGGTGCGCATCTTGGCCCTCGGTTGGGCCAAGTTGCGCCCACGTGGTCTATGTTGGGCACATCTTGGGCCCAAGTTGAGCCTATGTTGGGCCTAGGTCGGCCTATGTTAGGCCTATGTTGGCCTAGGTTGGGCCTATGTTCGGCCTATGTTGGCGTATGTTGGCCCCATGTTGGCCTATGTTGGCCCTATGTTGAGCCATCTTGGAGGCTATGTTGGCTATCTTGGGCCTATGTTAGGGATATGTTAGGCAACGTCTGTGCCCAACACCCACGAAATGTCGATTAAGCCTGTCCGCGCGGCACGCATAGCTGACACCACCAGCGCCCTGTTAGGCGCAAGTCGTCTCCGCCGAAGGCCACGAAACACTGTAAAAAACGATGTTTTCCACATCATGCGCAATCATGCTAGTAGATAAAATATAAATGACTTAAAAATCTGTCGACCGGATTCGGGCGGGGGTCGACACGGGGTATACACGCGGCTCAACAAAAGGGTCGGCGGCAGGGGCGGCGAGCGTATATAACCTTCGGTTACCAACCGAAGGCCTCCGGCAAGGACACGGGCCCGTGGCCGGCGCCCGGATTTAAGGGGCTACCGCCCGCGGCCGCCGACCCCAGAGCGGCCGCGGGCGGGGGTTCGGCTCCTGCTAAGCCCAGAACCTGGAAATTACGCTTTTCACGGGCTCAAACGGTTTCGAAAGCTTTTTCCTATAGTACCCAAAAATTTGTCGGCGCACACTCCACATTCTCCTGAATCTGGCTTCACCTCAACTATTTCCAGATTCTGGGTTTAGCAGGTACTACTTGGCGTTGTTCTGTCGTTCAACCTCCACCGTTTCTGACGAGTATCTGTTTTTTCCATCGAAGCATCAGAAACGAATACAACAACCCAATCGTACTAGAATATTTTAGCCGTTGGCAGTCTAGGCTCCGCCTGGTCCCGCGCGTGCGCGCGGGCGCCCCCTGGCGCCTTATCTTCGGGGGGGTGCGCAGGGGTCGCCAGCCTGGACACCGCCTGTACCGCAAAAAAACTGACGGTCCCCACTCCTTTTGAAACAGGACCAATGTCCAAAAATTGTCAAAAATTTGTCAATTCTTCGCAAAGCGCTGGTTGTTGGACAAGCCCCAGCTATACCTATACCAAACTATACGCCGTCCCCGTACCGTTCACGCTCACTCTCTCGGTACTAGAACGGGGTCGGCGGATTATATACATAGATAGGATGTGCACGTATGTACATATCATGTATTTCACATGTGTCCTGGATGGTTGGAGATATAAACCTGTGGAAGTACCTGTGGAATCTTCGCGGTATGTCGCAGCCACCGCAGATATGACATGTGTATTTGCCCAACCCACCAGAACAACGAAATGACATAGTATCTATGTCATTTTGTTGTTCTGGTGGGTTGGGGACGTAGTCCTTGTTCTGGGTGGTCCAATGAGAGCATGAGCTGCACCCCAAAGCAATGGAGTCGCCGTGAAGCAGTTTGTTCAGAATCACCACCCCGTGGAACGACAGATGAAGTTCTCTCCACTTTCTGGCCTATATAATGTGTACGTATTTATTACATAATATGCGTCCAATTATGGAGTGCTGTTTGCGAAACACAAGAAAAAAGTGTTGCCACTGAGGCATATGGCTGGTCAATTGCTCTCACAACTCTACTCCACGGAGCTTGAGTCCAATGCTTCTCAGAGCGTGTTATAGCCGTGGCACGTCGTGGATCCGTGTCGGCTTCAGGGCGCAAATTGCTGGCTCAGCGAGTAGATCATTGCTGGTTCTTCTAGATGTGGGGTTAATCCAAGGTTATGACCATCAAAAATTGCCGGTGAGTATATAACAGAAATTGTTCCTCACCGATGAAATGGCGGAGGCGGGACCTACTCTTTCCGGGTGGCAAAGCTTCTCACCGGTACCTAGTCCGCGCTAGACAGGATTCGACCTAAAAGTGTCTTATTGTCAAAAAATAGCCGCATATATCAATCATCGCCCATAGATTGGCTTGGCTGGGGCCTGGAAAACACACCCATACATGAGATTTGTCCCGTGCAAACCTTTGTCAAGTGACGCTGAAAGATGCTGCAAGACTGTCCACCCGGCCCCAAACAAGGTGGCCCCATGGGCCCCTTCGGCTGAGCGAATAGGAGCACCACATTCTCACAACAAGCGGAGAACCCGCCTGAGTCCACGGCCTCGTTGCACCAACGGAGTGTTGGACAAAACTCATGCTGAAACCGGTGGACAATGTTGAACATGTTAGTCCCGTTTAGGCCCTTTTTCTTTGCAAGTTGCGGTTCTTGGTGCGTGCCACGTGCACAAATGCAGCGTTTTGGAGCAGCAATGGCAGTTTACACACTGAGAACGAGTCGTCGCCTTCGTGTTTCAATACATGACTTTATTGGTGTCCCTTCCCTATTAGGTGCGTCGAAGAATCGCCAACAGCCTCTCAAATGGATGAGCAAGGGAGGAGATGCAGCCCCCACAGCATAGCACTGGTCTATTCTATCATTTGAGCACCATGCATTTGACATGCACTGGCGCACTGCATGGAAGCCAGTTGTAGGAGATGTCCCCTCGATGAAAGGCCATCCTGTGGCGTCAATCGATCCTGACTGAGATGAACTAAGCTGCATGACTATAGAGGGATTAGCAAAGCCATTTTGCCTTCCTCATATCTATATATAGGACAAGAACCAAAAACCTACATGCTCACGAGCCCGAGTCCCGAGTTGAGTCCCAAGTCGAAAACCTATGTTTCGGGCCGGACGTCTGAAACTCTGTTGAGCCAAACGTGCGTGTGATGCGATGCTGAACGCGAGTACGTCGACTCGTCCGCAGTGGACCGATGAGGCTATTCTGTTGGCTTCGGCCATGAGCGCATCCGGTGGTGAAGCCTGGCGTTGCACCATGGCCTTGCTTCAACAGTTCTCCTCCTCGATGATGAAGCCTAGCTGAGTAGACCATGAATCCAACTGTTGGTAGTGCCTTGTGGCTTCAGTTTGTTCATGCATTCTTATGGTTTGTGTTGGGATTGTTTGGGTGCAAGTTGTCAGCAACAGAGGTGGTATTTGTTCGGAGCCTAATTGTTTTATATTCTGGGTGCCTAGGTTTTGGCCTGCTTCTCTCTGGCGTGGACACACCATTGAGAAATGTAAGAAGTGCACTGATATGACTTTGAATAGATCCTGTATTTATTTATTGGGCTGTTTAATGGGTTTTTCCGCCTAAAAAACGTGGAAGAATGATTGACACCGATCTTGGTTGGTAAAAAGGGATAGTCGCTTCTTAATCAGGGTAAGATAGTTTATTTATTTGGGTATGGGGTAGCTGCTAAATGACTTCATACACCTTGTTTCTCCAAAGGGTTGAGCATTTCTCTTTACGCTGCCTGAAGTGCAAAAAACGGTTTTGTGGATGGCAATCGAAAGAAATACATCCGACCAGACGAGCACAAGGAATTGGCTGTGAGCAGCTGTGGAGCCAACAGTTCACCAAGAGGTGTTTCATTCCGATTTCAGCGAAGTCGGGATTCAATAGACGCTCATGGGAAGGTTTCTGGTACTGCAGCTTCACAAAAACCAAGGAAATGCGACGTGATTTGCTTTAACAGTGCTGTCAGTGCTTGTGGAGAAGCAAAACGATGGGCGAGCGCGTTGAAGATTTTGTTGGATGGGAAGTGCCAGCAGCTGCGAAGTACGATCGTGTCATACAGTGCAGCCATGAGTGCAAGTGAGAACCAATGGCTTTCTGCTTGGCACTTGTTTCAGCTACTGCGCAGTGACGGAGTACTCGTGAGCACAGTTCCCTTTAATGCTGTCGCCAGTGCTTGCGAAAAAGCAGCAGAGTGGGAAAATGCCCTGCACCTCGTCGCTTGGCCATCAGACATGAGTTGTTTGCTTTTGTTTTTTGGCCAAGACTAGTTACATGCCGCCTTAAAAAGCTTTGACTATGAGCAGGCAAGATTGGAGATGTACATAAGAGTTTGACCCCCGGAGTCAAACGAATCATGGCGGACCAAATCAACGAATGTCCCAAAACCCAGCTTTCAGACCTTTGACTTTGATGTTCTTCCCAACAGAAGGTTCTACTATGGCTTCAATGCTGTCCAATTGTTAAAGAGCTTTTCTTGTGGGGTGGCCCAACAAGGAAATAAGCCGTGTTTGAGCTATTATTTTTACATACAAGAGTTTTATAGACCAGTCGACCTTGTTTTCAAAGGTAATCCAAGTTGACTTGATGCGTTTGCAGCGCAGCATCATCACCTATGGCTCTGGCATCAGTGCGTGTGAGAAGTCGCTGGAGGAGTGGGGCTGGTCTCTGCACCTGCTGGCGGAACTCCTGACACGGTCGCTGCAAGGCCTGGACGTCCGTGGGGATCGCCATGTCATTTCCGGTCGCATCGATCTCCAGGAATCGAAGAAGTCACAAGTTTCGGCACCCGTCGGGAGCAGAACCTGCTACAGTTGATGAATGAAATGCGATTTGAGCAGGGCGCCCAAGCACATGTTCAACGTTGTCGTATTTGCATGGAGTAGGCAGTGCTGGTGGCGGAGAACTTGTCAATTCTTCGTCTTTGAGACACATCCCAAGTCATCCATCGAAGTCCGATGTCTCACGTCTCCCCGTGTCCAAAGTGCTTCGCTCTCCTTCGATGTCCTCGAGAACTTGGAGTCGACCTCGCTTGGTATGGAGGCGTGGAGTCTCTCCTTCGTCTCTCCGTGTTTGGAGTCTCTTGAGAGGAGACCAATGGAGGACTTCCACCCCGCTGTGCTTTGTGTTTCTGTAAAGGATTGCATTGCACAAATCAGATATAACTCCCGTCTCGCGGATTTGTGCCCCAAACACTTTCGCCACATCTGATTCGAAAAAGCAATCCAGTTTTGAGTGTTTTGGCCGCCTACTCAGAGAGCCACTATTTTCCTGAGATCACCGCCACTGTCACGCCTGTGCAGGCAACCTGGTGGTGCACAATGCAGCAATCAGCGCGTGTGAGAAGCGTGGATATATTTCAGCAGACCTCCTACTCCTTTCCGTTCTTCAACCATGTTCTGAGGATCTAGGTTGAGCATGATTTTCTGACATGATCCATGTTGGCCAAGAAACCCAGCTTTCTGCTGCTTTCGGCTTTTCTGCATTGTCGTTCCTCAACATTTGGACTTTCACTCTCCAGTTCGAAGAAACCCGAACACTCCTAGGGACCTGTCGTTGAATGACATCCAAACACAATCGAAAGTATTAGACTTTGTGAATGTTGGAGGAACATGGCCCGATGGATTTGGGAACCCCTTAAAGCAAACGCCCTCCGGATCTATATTTGCGAAGAGAAAGACGTCCCTGATGGTCTTTGTCGGCCGCCCGAAGGTGCCCCTGTCGATGAGCCTTTGAATCATCTAAGGAAGGGCGCCCAATGGCAACATGCCCTTCGGCTGTTGAGTACATTCAATGACCGAGACCTTGAAAGTGATTTGATGCCGCTGATCTGCAGGGAGCAGAGGATTCGTGGACCTGCTGAAGGTGCTGAATGACTCCTCACGTTTAGACATCTCGTCCGAAAGGTGAAATCTTGAGTTGTAGATGTGGTAAAGCCACCAACACCAAGCCCATTGTGCCGATGATTTGTTTTTCGTGAACAGAAGCGGAGTTTTTAACGTGTAGAGGACTGGCTTCATTTGGGATCGGTGAACCATGTGAACTGTGAGAAGCACTGGCGTTCAGGCAGTAAGGGGTGACCTGATGCATTTCCCCCACATTCAGAAAGGGAACATGCATGAAAATGCAGAATTCGATGTTTCACTGGGCGTCATGATAATGAACCTTATGCGAAGTCATCAGATTTGCCGTACGTGGTTTCATCGAGTTTTCCTCGGCATGTTTTTTGGTGCGAACAAGGTGGCGAGAGAAGTGTGTCATACATTATACCCAGGGCGACACATGGCTGTGAGTCAAAACCGCGGAGGGCACAAGCTGAACACTGAACAGGACAAGCCATCTATCGCTCACATCCTGATTTATGTAATTGAGATGATCTAAGGTTTGCAAGGAATCACGTGTGTAGCAGCTCTCCTGACACCAAACATATTCAAACATCCTGCAGGTCCCAGGAAACAAATACACCAATTCTATCTCTATGAGCGGATTTCCCCCCCAGATTTTCTCAGGTGCTGCTCCAGATCTTTTGTCTATCAACAATAGTGAAAGGCAAGGCTTAAGTCCCACTTCGGGGGTCCTCTCATGTTGCCCAACACAGACGAGGGGTCATACTGTGCTAGAGTCTTTCAATCCCCAACGTTTGACCATGCATGAACCATCGGTAGACAATGAAATGGCACGACTCGTGCGCGTCCTCCGCTTCGCTCAGATTCCACTTCGCTTCGTTGCTGAGGTCGTTCAATGCCCTCATCAGTTCTTGTGAAAAGGCACAGCAGTGGCACCAGAGCTGCAATGGTGTCACAACGCTATCACAGACGATGTTGACCCAACTGGGTCATTTCGACGCCACCGGGGTTGGAAAGCATTGTTTGAGCCGCAAACTTCTGTTTGTCGGTCACCACTAGGTAATAGTGACCTACCGAAATGGTCGGAAATGTGTGTAACCTGAATATAGATCTTAAAGCCTCAACCCTACCCTAACCATTTTCCTCAAACGAAAATCCCGTCGAGCTGTATGGTTTGGCCGACAATTCCCAGGTTTTCCAGCCCCAGAACCAGAGACCAGTCTGCTGCGTCACAGTCAGAGGCAAGCGGCACTACATTTGCTTCGTCTCATTCCACTCATGCGCCTGCAGCGGAGCATCATCACTTATAGCTCGGCCATCAGCGCCTGTCAGTGCCTCGGTTTGCGTGGGATCGATCCCGATCGGACAGGCCCAGCGGTGGAATCTGTGGAGACATCCATGTTGACGACATAAATCAGACTCTTGATTAATAACCCACCGATTTGGATTGAACAACTCAACCTTTTCACACGGTTTGTTGTATTGATCAAGAGTCTGCACTATACGGAATGCTTATGACCTATGAAGAATTGTTCAAAAACTTATGGCTTTCCGTCACCGGGCATGGCCTCTCCGACCTTGAAACAGAACCCCTTCATTGTATTCTGGACCCTCCTACTTGTGGGCCATGGTGGAATATTGTGGATGCAATTTTCTCATAGAGCAACATGAAGCCAAACCGTAGCAGAGGCGCTTGATTTCATGTTTCATCGTTTCACCACGCTTTGGTGCAAGAAAAGCTTTCGACGATCGATCGCTCACGCTGACACCGTAAGTTTCGTGGGGTCGAGCCTGAGGAAGGCCAGCGACTGGGAGCGTGCTTTGCTGCTGGTGGCAGAGCTCACGGCCGTGCAACTTCCTGGGAACGCCATTGCCTACAATGCGGCTGCTTGGGTGCCAATGTGGGGTGTGTGACCACGGGGTGCGGCAGTTTCTACGCCAGGAACAATTGGGAACAGGCAGTGAAATGTGTTCAAGGAGCTTCAAGCTTAGCAGCTACGTAAAGAAAGACAAACTCACCGCCAAGCCAGAAACCTTCCAAGTTCCACTCTTCACATCCAATGACGTCCACACAGTCCACACAGGTGTGTACCATGCTACACAAAACTATAAAGCTCCACCATCTCTCCTCCATCAATGACTACAGCATCAACAAAACTGACGCATTCTGGACCACTGCATCGATGTCCGCAAAACCAACAGCCAGCTCTGAGGCCTTGACTTCCTGTGAAATGGGCTCACAAAGTGTCCAAGCTTTGCTGCTCTTGAAACGCCTCGAAGAGACCCAGGCGGCCGTCGTGAACATTCGACGCCCAGGTGACGCGGCGTGTGCCACGGGCGTTCCACGGCTTTTGTGTTCCGCGCAGCGGTCGAAGGATAATGCGGTGGAGTCACATGGGGTTACCCAGTCTGTGGTAGTGGCAGCATTGGCACCGCACCAAAGGGAAGACAATAGCACTGTGAGAGAAGGCGTCCGCCGTGTTGGGTCTTTGAGTTGGAGTCTTTTTGTCAACAGTCCTATAGACTCCAGACTTAATAACTACCCAGTTTGGGCACCTGAGCACGTCTTAGGTGACTGTTTTTCCCACCAAAAACGTCACGCTTTGTGGTCCTCGATGGTCTTCCCCCACCGCTGCAGGTGGAAGCGGATGACTTCGCCTACGCTGCTGCCCTCCGCACGCTAGGCCGCTGCGAGGACTGGCGCTCCGCAGCGGCGCTGTTTGCAACGCTGCCCACGGCCGGCGGTGCAGCATTTTCGGCGGAGGCCGGTGGAACCAGCTGGTTGGAACAGCGAACTGCTGGGATTGTCTTGGATTTCAGTGAGGGTAGCTTCCGAGATATCTCCTTGAGAGCTTGTGAAAGTCAACTTCAGCGAGATATTTTGGAGCTGGGGTAGTGTTGAAGTGCGGGATGCCTTGGATTCATCTCAAAGAAACCACGGGGACCTCTAAGTTCTTTTTTGGCTCGAATCGGTCTATCTTCCTTCACATTGGTCGGTCTTGGGGGAGCCTTTCACCTGTACTCTTGTTGGGCATGCCTCAAAATCAATGCAGCGCAAATTGGCGTTGGAGCTGATTAGGTTGTTCATGTTCAGTATTTGCTTGCTGATCTACTGGAAAACCAAGTCTTCAAGTCGTTGGATTATTGAAAGCAGTTCAAGATCACCCTTTTGTAGAGCATTGCAGCTGGCCTACGTACCTGTCAACCCACCAATCACAAATGTTTCTGCCCACCCCACGAGGGCTACCAATCAGGTCAGGCATAACGCCCTGCTCAGCGCCTACGAGAAGAGTGCTGTGTGGCTCCAGGCAGTGGGAGAAGACCTCTGTGCGGAAGATTTGAACAGAACAGGGAGGTAAAACAAACCCATGGTTACGGGTGTTTCAGAAACGATCCCGCAACATGGCGCATGGCTGTTTTCAGATGTTCCATAGGAATCCATAGAATACATATAATATACTCTATATATTCACACTTGCATTGAGCTTGCGGTTGCAAGTTTTATGTTCACGAAAATTCACTAAAATGTCCCACCGGGACATTTTGGCTCAAGTTGGGTGGCAACCTCGTTTGAGTTGCCAAGTTGGGTGAGTGAAACTGCCTGCCACACCCTTGATTTAAACGTGAAACGGTCACAAGGTGACCTTCGAGGATGGGGTCTGGGGAGGACCCATGCACCTCTCAAAGCAATACGACAAAAGGCTGCTTGCTGCTTTTGTTGCTTAGGGATGTTTTTGATTTTTGGGTACATATATATATATATATGTTTTGCATATGGGCAAGTTGGGCTTGTCCTGTTACCTGTAACAGTAGGTAAACATTTATAACTACTTTAGAGAAAGGCTTCTACTAACCATCATCGTCCACTATTACTGGTAAAGGCATAGACCCGACATATGGGACTCTAAAGCTAGTATGTGATCTCCATATCCTCTCCATCCAGTGAGGATCGACCGAGGGAGGCTTGGATCGATGTACTGCTTATATAGTATTCCATGACTATTCCTACTCCTACCGGTGGATGCATGGATTTTTACTTATATACGTTGTTGCATGTTGTTACATGAAGTTCATCAACAAAAACTTAAGTTACAGCTGAACATCCATGACTTTACTGGAGGGCAAACTCTTGCCACTCCATCAAAGCGTCTCTTGAAGATAATACCAACGGTTCCAGGTGGTTGTTTCCCGTTCAGTTTTCGGGCCGTGTGAGGCTTTGAAGCTGATGGCCGCGGTGCCGGCCCTCGGGGACAGGCGGGGAGAATCTGGAGAATCGCTGCGCACGCAGTGAGACAGTTCGATCGCTCGAGCAAGGAAACACCACAGAAAAAGAAAGCCCGTTGAAAACACTAAGCATTGTTTGGCTTCGGAGCGTCTTCTTTAGCAGGTGCTCTGAAAGTGGTTGGCTGAGATGGTCTCTGTAAGATGGTCAGACATTGTCAGTATAAGTATCTCCAACGAACAAGGAGTTTCCAGTGAACATAGCTGCTCCGTGCGTTTGCAGGTTTGCCATCAGCGCGGCGTCCAGCACTTACGCAGACGGACATGCCTGGCCGGCGGCGCTTCAAGTGGCGGAGGGCATGGAGCCTGACCGAGTGATCTATGGCCGCTTTGGAGTCATTGTTTTGTCATTCCCAGAATTGGTCGAAGGGAACATCTACAGGAAACCATGGGTTTCACCCTCCAAAACGAATGGTTTCCCATAGATGTTCGCTTCAACCAATTCTGGGAATCATCACGCGCCACACGAAGAACTTGGAGATCTATGGACATCAGATGCCGCTGCGGCTGCCACCGTTTTGGAAATGTTTGTGTGTGTGTGATAGTTGACGGACTCTTAGCTGTAGGGTTGGCCACCAACATTCTAAAGAACCTACTTGTACTAGAACCAAGGCTCCCTCCTTTCTTGGTGTTTGTAATACATGTTTTATATACCAGTGATATCCACTGATTATACCGTTGATTATGATATGATCCTTCTGGTTTCTACAACGGACTTTCACCCATAGGCCTTCATCTGGGTCAGCAAACCTATTGAATCCATGCCTGAGGGCTCAAGAATGCCTAAAGCCATGAGGCTTGGAGCTATCACTGACCCACACACAGGGTTTTCCGCCATTGAGAATGCTCCTAAGTGGGCTAAGCTGCATGTTTGCATGGACCCTGTGGATTTCGTTGGCAACGGACCTCGAATGTTAGTTTAGGTGATGGAAACCTTTTGGGATGGTCCAGACACCCCAAATCACAGCAAGGGCTCATTTCTGTTTCTTCACGTGCAGCGCATACTTCACTTTTTTTCCCACTGCCTTATACAGTTGATAGTATATATAGAAAAATCAGATCTACTGTTGCATCTACTTGGCTGTGGGGCTTGCACGCACCACGAGGAGCTCTACACACCCTACACCCTGAGCCCTACACCAGTCCTCAAAGAAGGACGTTTGGTTTCACTTGACACCAAAAAGACCGAAAGCCTAACTGAGCGCCGAGGCACCCTGCTCAAGGCGCAGAAGCCGTGAGACCGAGTCCCAAGTCGCGGCCTAAAACGCCGCGGTGGGGCAGATCCAAGAAGGGCAAAGGTGACATCTTCAACAAGGAATTGCAGCACAATTGATGATTGGCTATCATGTTAGCTTCTTGTTTGCGCATGCGAATGCTTAGTTAGCCTCAATTAGCATGCGAACCTTGAGAGCACGGTCTTAAACCTGCAACAGTATGGTGTAGTTTGTAGATGTTCAAGGAGTTCAGTTCAGTAGTACTTCAATAAGGTATATAATATATGGCTATCCGAGCTATCCTCGGTTGAATGGGCTGCTCCTGTCTACATGAACATGGGGCATTCCCTCGAGAACCCCAATGAAGGTATACTTATCGTCAAAACAAGGCACTATGGTTTTGAACCACACCCAGATGTTATTGTTGATGTTATTCCCCTCCTCCTGTCAGGTGAGGGTTGATAGATTTTATGTCAGCAAGTGTAGGATGGCAGTCAATGGCAGTGATCCACGCCGAACCTCAACCACAAGTGTAGGATGGCAGTGTTCATGCAGGACCTCAACCGCAAGTGTAGGAGGGCAGTGATCCACGCCAGACCTCAACCGCAAGTGCAGGAGGGCCACGTTCCCCGCCGGACCTCAAGGATTATGTGCATTGCTTTCATGTTGTGCTGGGCTGACATGTCATGGTGGGGATTTTTTGAAGTGAAGATGCATGTTGAGCCGCTTACTTACGTGTACCGCAGAACGAAGTAAACGTCTTTGCTGCAGCAGGTCGTTCCAAGTTGATCCGATCAGCGCGATTCGATTCTCACTCCGTCACTCCACTTTTTGAGCTTGTAGATTGACGTATTCTGCGGCCCAGACCTCTATACATAGGTCCAAAGTTGGCTTCAATAGATGAATAGTTTCAAGAAGAGCCTGGATTCCAAGGTTGGATGCTGCATTCATATTTTCTGTATTTCATATTGTGATCGACGGTTGGAGCACCTGCATATTGGACACACTGACAGTCACTGACCCTTTTGGTTGCCTGGGTGTGGGTGTGAAGAGAACTCTCCAACAAATGCTTTGGCTGCCATCCAAAGGCGCTCAAATTTGTTTCGCCGGTGGTTTGCAGTTCAACGTCTGACAACTGAAATATACTGACATAAGTTTCACACGTAGTTCTTCAATCCAGATTTATGGCTTTTTGAGCCGGCCTCAACAGCTGGGTCTCCTTTCCCTCTGTTCACGGCATATCACTCTGGCCGCCGCATCGCGCAGTCGCCGCCGCGTGCGAACTGTGCGAACGACACGGCCAGGCGTGCATGGTCAGCTTGAAATGGTCAAAGGCCGTCGGTTTGCTGCAGAGCATGGAGGAAGGATCTCTTCCAGGCCGGACAGCAGGGAATCTCTCAACACTTGGGTGCCTGGACCGTGGACCTGGAGATCTCATGGTAAAATGCATATGTATCATGATGTACATATAGAGACCTGGTTCACAACCAACACACAAAAAATTGCAAACATGCTCAATGTTTGGGATGGTTGAGACTTGTAGTGAAGCAGTGCGCAAGCGTGACCTTAAGGGAGTAAAAAAACCAAAGTGTGTGACACAGTTGTGACACCGAAGAATCCGCATTCCTACTTAGGTGTTCTTCACTTCGTCAATCGCTACGAAGCTCGCCACACCCTGAGGAGATGTGACCACTTGCCACGCCGCCATCAGCGCCTGTGATGTGCCGCTGCCGCTGCTGCAGCTGTTAGCGCGCATGGAGCGCATCACCACTGGATTGGTGAAAAAGTAGTAACAAGAAGCTACTGGGAACAAGTGCATCGCTTCTAGTAACAAGTGCCTTACTACTAGTAACAATAAGCTATTAGGAACAAGTGCGAAAAGGATGCAGCGGACCTGGGACTCGGGACACAGACTGGGTCAAGACTGGTGGTGCAGGATTTTCGGTCGACGAGCAACCAAACAGCAATGTTCCAAGATACACAGAAAGAGAATAAGCTCGTGGGAATCACACTGTTGCGATGGGGTATGGGAAGCTGAACCCTTTTCACCTGCCAGCCATACTTTGGAGCCACAGTATCATTTGACTATGTGATGCCCCACAGCTTCAAAGAATCCAGCTGGCAGGTGTGGTTTGAACCGAGCTCAAACAGGTCGTCAAACGGGGTGGTTTGAACCATTTCAAGACTGCAATTCTTCATGGCTTGTGCGAAGATTCTCGTGAATGCATGACAACATGGTGGATCCCTCGCATGGCACGGCCAGCCACAAGGGAAGACTACTTCAGAAATAGGAAGAATGTGTTTTTTTCTCACCGGGTCTTGCAACATCTATGTGGATCAGCCACGGTCGAATTAAGAAGACCATTTCACGTGGCCAGTGTGGGACGGTCCATTATCACCCTCTTTTGAACCTATAACATTTAAACTGCTTTAGTGAGGAATCCAACGTTTCAATTGAAATAAAATGAAATAAATTACTCGCAGGATTCTATGGGGAAAGGGTTTTCACTTTAGAACCGTCAAGAAGAAAAACTTTTGTCCTAGTGGTATGTTGCTTTACAAACAGGGGGATCCGCTTCAAGGTTATAGTATATGCGGTCCCACTGTTTGTTCGTGGTTTGAATCAAGTCTATGTCGGTGGGGATCAAGAAACGAAGGAACCAACGAAGCTAATGAAGCTGAATAATTGAGTTGTGATTCGCCTTTCAGCTTGGCGACTAAAAAGGTGGTGAGCGTGGATAAACCGTGAAAAGAAAGTGCAAATGTGTCTTAGAGTGGTTTGAGACGACCCTTCTTTATTTGCACAGTTTGATGATTGACGCCTTGAAAGATCTGTTTTACACAATGACAAGAACCCAGTATTCTCCAAGAGCAACATATTGATCAGAAGCTATCAGAAGTCCTCAAATACCTGTGTCATAATAGTGATATACCAAAGCACTTGGCGTTTGTGTAGAACCAAAATGATTTTCGACGGTGCGGTGGCAGGCAGACGGAGCGCCAAACCGCCTCGACGAGACGGCGGCACTTGTTTCCTCTGAGATGGCTGGCCGTTGGAAAACCGAAGCGATCGTCTCGCATGTGGTGCCACCAGAAGTTGCCTTACCCCAATTATGGGACCTTCCTCCCATTGGGTGGTGGACTTTGAGGCCAGTTCCCAAAAGAGTGGTTCTTGGATGTTGTTCGAATCCTCCAACTGGACCAGCGAAACCTGCTTGAAGCGGTTGACTTGTTGGTGGAGACTCTCGGGGGAGGGACTGACTGACTGCAGCTCCAGCTATTCTGACTGCAGGGTCCAGCATGTGTGTGAGCAGCTGTAGAAGCTATGGTGATTCAGGTGGACAGTCAGTCGAGGGCCCCTGGAAGTGGTGTGGAGTCGTCGTGTGACGACAGGGAGAAGAGTCGAGCCACTTCACTCCGCATGTCAACACACCTGACACATGATGCTTTGATATGCCTTATTGATTTGGCTCAGACAGCACACAACGCAACGAGTCAGGGAATCAGTGTTGCGATGAAGAAATCTTAATTGCAGATGCGAAATCGATTCTAAAGAAGTCTTGGAGTCAAAGGTGCAAGGCGAGCGTTCCAATCGCAGGGGAGCTACCAGACTTCTGACAAGATTGGATAGTGTCAATTCCACTTGCCACCTGCAACATGTAGTTAATATGAAGGTTGGTATTGAAATAGGAAACAAACAGTGTTTGTTGCTGTGATAGACTGAACTCTTGACAGGCTATATAAAATATCTGAAGATACCTCCAATTCCACATGATAGACAATAAAGTCTTAGTCATGGTGACTGAGCAGTTCAGCATTGAAAGCCAGCAGCCAGATTGCCAGTACATTGTCAGTCCTGATCACCTGTAGATTGATTGTGCTTTTGGGCCAACCGATTTAGTTCCCCCACACGAAGTCACGACACAAGCAAAAGCGGAGTCGCCATCAGGGTACTTTGATGCTTTTGGCATGGCATTTCACGACACAAGCAGACGGGGGTCCTGTGCTTCTTTTGGCAAGCTGGGATAGGATGCAGAAGGTTGCACAAGAGTCACTCAGTTCGCGTTAAAGCTTGGTAGATTTGCCTTATCAACGCTTGAAAGTGGCACAGAGATCGGCCTCGCTTGGTGACATGAATTTTGCATCTCCTTAACACCTTCCCGTGCGCTGTTTACAGACCACCGGCTAAGATGCAGAGGTTATTGTGAGCACCTTTTGAGCATCTGGTCGTGGATGGAATGTTCACCAGACATTCGCTATGTGAATGGGTCACTGGCCGAGATGTTCATGTGGAATTTGGGCAAGTGAGGTTGGTGCCTGTCAATTTCACGAATGCTGGTTCCAGACTTCAGGAAAGGAGGAGATATAGTATATATAATATATATGCCGTCACAGATTCTATGGGGAGGTCGCGGAGGAGACGCAAGAAAAAGGTTACATACAATGATGAGAGGCAACAGGAGCAGGAGAAGCTCCGAAGACGGCGCAAAAAAAGAGGCGAAGAGCAAAGTGCCTTGCCTGCTGAGATGTGCTGAGGAAGTGCACATCTGGGGGAACAGGCTGAACCGTATTAAGTCAATTTAAGTCGCCTGAGCTGACTGCTGCCCATTGGCCGTTCCAGCTACTGTTGATGTTGGCAAATGTTGTTTGCAGCTGCAGATGGCCCGAGGTACAGGACCAGAGACGAAGGCTGAGCTGCCCCAAGGGGTGGAAGGAGAGGAGTTGCCGCAGAAACTTGCTAAATAAAGAGATGTAAAGGTTGTGGGTGGGAAAATCGACACTCCTGTGACGCTGGGCCATTTCTCAAAGTTCTTTGGTTTCCGGCGCCAAGGATGGGCTGTGAGGAATCAGAGACCTTGTCGGCCATTCAAGGAGCCACAGAGCACGAGTGGATGATGAGAGAAGACCCCTACATCCAGACTAAGGCGCGGCACTGTCCCACAGACAGCAACACAGTTCAGAAGGTGTCCCACAATTCTTGTTGAGGGGGCGACGCAAGCAACACTGCTTCGCAGTCTTGAAAGGTTTCCTTTGAAGCACCCTCCATTGGCAACTTTGTTGTGGAAGTTCCTTTGGCTGAGTTTTCCAACTTTGATACACGTTTATAATATGTTTATACTATACGACTATACTTGCATTGTTTTTCAGCCTTTACATGCCGAGGTATTTGCGCATGAGAGGAGCCTGACACACACAAGTTATGGAGCTGCTGGCCATGGCGCCGGAGGAGTGTTTTGGCCATGCTTTTTGGATCCAATGTCAGAGACATGAATCGCATGTCTCTGACATTGCTGGATTCAAAAGGCACAGCGGAGCTCTTCGGCGCCAATTGGCTGGTTGAAGGCCTTGGCAGTGGAAAACAAACTTTGCCTAGGTCAAAGTACTTGGCTCCGGAAAGGAGTGTCCGACAGGCCGTTCCGTTTGCAGTCGTGCATCCTACGTGTACGGATCCAGCATAGTTGACTTGGAAAAAGTCCTTTGAATTGGACGTGAGGGATTTCTTCTGTCGGTGTCCCGCAAATTGCCTGGGAAAGCAGAAGTGTATAATTTTTGGTCATGTTGATTCATTACTTGTGGGCTGTGTGGCTGATTTGTTTGGCCATAGCAACATCCATTGCAGCAATTATTGTCACGGGACAGAAACACTCACACATGCAGCAATAAAGCTGGAGGGCCAGAAGGGAATGTTTCGTTTTATTGTAGGGAGAGGAAAGGAAATTGATTGAACTTGATGAACACTGCTTCACACATCCAGTGAGCGACATTAGTTGAAACTAGGAGTTCAGGTGCCTGCTGGTTCAAGCTCTTCAATCATGACACACCACCGTTCAGCATACGTCCAACATGTCCATGCCCCTCCAACTCAACAAATTGTTTTACCTGCCCTCAGCAGCAAGCAGAAAGACGTTCATGCAAAAAAATCATTTGCATCGGGGGAGTGGCTGATACGACAAACACTCCTCACCCACCTTCGCCAGTTTGCCTTTGCCAACGGAGTCAACGTGAAAGTAACATGAAAAGAGAAGTTAACATCTAACGCACAATCCGACAACGCACAGCGGCAACAACTGCCATGAGCCTGGCGCGTCTTTTGGCAAGCGCCACGCACCTGGTGGAGAATGAAACTCAGCTGGAGGACAAGTCGTGGTGAAAAGAACAGCTGGGTTGGAATGTAGAGGCGAGATGTGGATTCAAATTCGGTGGAGGCGAGAAAGACTACCAGATGCTACTGTATGTGTTGTCTCAAGTACGTAGAATTGGACATCTGCATTTTTTGCAGCAAAGCGCGTGGGCAACAAATCCTTTTGGTATTGTGTTGGATGTGGGGTGAGGTTGCTACATGTTGCTGCCCTTGCCTTCCTCCCTGTACTGAACACACCATGCCATGCCAATCGGTGTCGTTCGTTCCCTCAAACCATGGCCCTGCATGGTCTTGTTGAACACGTGTCACTTCCCGAAGTGCACCTTCGATTTGCTGTGGTCCCTCCGATCTCAGCCCAGTGGTCCTACGATGTCCTGAGATCCTCAAGACCCGTTTTGCTCGAACAGAACATCTCCCCGTTTCTTGGTCACGTTCGAAGAGTCGCAGGATGGTCTCCATGGACTGCATGGGCCTCACTCCTCCTCGCCGATCGAACCTATTTGCTGCTTGGGCTTAGAGGCTTTGCAGCGTGAAATTGGTGGTGTTGTGAGTGTCCTCATAGATTTGTGTTGAAGAAAGTCACGAAAGGTAGCCCTTTAGGGGATACCTTGAGTTTGACTTGCGAAGCAAGTGTCGGCGAGTCCGGGTCTAATAATTGATCATTCAATTCAACCCCCCCCC